TTTTGCTTTTCACCTGATCAGAACAAAATTGTCCCTTTGTGTTGCTTGGTTATGATTTTTTGCATTTACTTGTATTGCTAGGTCCGATGGTTGTCCCACCATAGCATCAACTTTCTTACCAATGGCACAAGACACTAAGTTGTTTTTTTATTAATATTTTTCTGACCTCTCTGGCTACAAGAAGAGCTTTTATATTTCCAACTGCTTTTGTGTCTATCAAGATTCTTCTGTGTCTAAAGTGTGAAAACAGGGAATATCCAGCAGGATTTGGTCAATCAATACTTGGCATTATTCCAGAGAGCTCCCATGATGGTGTCTCACTTTATAGGTTCATTAGACCTATTTCTATAACTGAAAATGTCCTCGGAGAACTTTGGGGAAGATTTAGGTTTTTATTAATATTTTTCTGACCTCTCTACAAGAAGAGCTTTTATATTTCCAAATGCTTTTGTGTCTATCAAGATTCTTCTGTGTCTAGAGTGTGAAAACAGGGAATATCCAGCAGAATTTGGTCAATCAATACCTGGCATTATTCCAGAGAGCTCCCTTGATGGTGTCTCATTTATAGGTTCATTAGACCTATTTCTATAACTGAAAATGTCCTCGGAGAACTTTGGGGAAGATTTAGGAACATAGATGTGTGGTGGCCGTGACTGGATTGATGTTGGGACTCTTCACCCCTTCTTCTTGCACCCTTCCCAAAGTGTTAGACAAAGATATTTGGAAGTTATTTTTATTGCACTGTCAAAATTACTCACGTTAGGATTGTAAATAACACACAGAGCAGAGTTTTATGCATTTGGGAAATTAAACACATCTGGCTTCATGCTACTTTCCTCTGACAACGTTATGAATAGGTGGAGGTACAAAGGAAATCCAAATAGGCAGTAAAAATGATTGTCTAAGACTGTAATAACAAAGTGAGTTACTGTCCCTTTATATGGAGACTGTAATAAAAATTCTACCAAACCTAAGTGCAAGTGGTAGTAGCATATGGAATCTTCTGAAATCTTCTGACTCTTGTATTTTTTTTTTCTTTTTAGACTAAAGAATTTATTGATGGAAGTTTACAAAGTGGAGGTAAAATCAGATTTACTTTTTTCTTCATATACTAATATAGTGGTGTTAAAGCTTCAAAATATTTAGTTGGTATGTATTAGATGTCCTTAAGTATGAAATCTTCTTCAATGTGGATGTTTAGCCTGGTTGATTTGCACTATGTTATACAAGTTGAGAGCAAAGTGTTGTTCTCTCCTTTTGCCTCAAAACTGGATAGCCAAAACCTTTGCTCATCTTTTTTCACTTTAACTATGATCTGTGCGTAAGGACTGTCCCTTCTCCAGCAAAGGGACTTAAATCTGCATTGCAGTCATAGGAATACAGATTTTGTTGCTCAAAATCCTTGGAGGAGCAGCCATCCCAGGGCAGCAACAGACAGAATCTAGGTAGTGATCTAGAGTGAAGTGTAAGACCCACCTGTTATTCCTCAGAAAGTATCTTGGTATTGCATAGCTGTTCATAAAAAGGAGAAACTTGAAAGATTTTTTTTTTCCCATCTACACAAGTAGCTTTTTTTTCTCCTCAGGAAAAGTTCTTGTCCATGGAAATGCAGGGATTTCTAGAAGGTAGGAAACTATGCTTTTTGCTTTTATATTTTTGAAACCGTGGGAATATATTTTTTTTCTATTTTTTTTTCTGTTTCTTTTCAGTGCTGCCTTAGTTATTGCATACATAATGGAAACGTTTGGGGTGAAGTACAGGTAAGAGCAAGTGGACACCGCATGGTCGTGTAGCTGACTATTTGTGTGAAAAAAGCTCAAATAAGAGAATGTTAACAGATAAGACATCTGATCCACCTATAGGTGCAACTTTTAAATTTAAGTGGCTTGAGTAAATAATTTTGGAGATGATGTGAATGCTCCCATATTGCTGCATAAGCAAATTGTTACCTGTTGAGACTGAGCAAACACTTTCCACACAGCAGATTTTTCCATTTGTCTAGCACAGGTCTGTCTGCACCCTTCCTAGCCACCTGCAGCTAGTGGAAACAAGATGTTGGCCTAGATGGATTGATGCTTTGCAGGAAAACTGTGTGCAGCAGAGACCCGAGAGGTTGTTGCAGCAGTGTGTTCAAAACGGGCCAGCAAGCTGAGCATTGCAGGTCGGGGTGGGCAAAAAGTGTGTTACCCAGTCACAGTTCTACAGAGCAGTTCCAGGGAGCCCTTAAAGGTTCTGTATTTTCTAAGAACTGGCAATCAGAAGAGAGACTCATCAAACCATAAAGATTTGTCTGTCTTCAGCTGATGTGTCTGTCTTTCTCTCTGTTTTCTTAAGGGATGCATTTACTTATGTTCAAGAAAGAAGATTCTGTATTAATCCTAATGCTGGATTTGTCCATCAACTTCAGGTGATTATTTTTTTCTGGTCAACTCTCAAAAGCCATTTGAATCCTCTTGCTACAAAACAGCCATTTCTACTTACGCTTAATGTATGTGCTAAAAAGATCTTTCAAATCTCCAAAGTTACAGTAGAGGTTGGGAGGAAGAAGGGAGGCTATTTTAGTTCATTAGCCTTGAGCCTTAGAAAAGGAAGCCCTGGGAGGGAGGAAAAATGAAAATCCTGTTCTGGGCAGTGGCTAAGAGGCTCTGGAATAGTTTAACTGATAGCAAGGACACCTCCAAGTAGCTGTTGTGTGCCTCTGAGGTGCCTCTTGGCAGCTGAATTTGTAGATGGTGATAAAATTCATAAGTCTGTAAAAGCAAAATGCCATGAAGTGACTTCATCACCGTAGTTCATGGGTCTGTTGGTTGAGTGACAGGGAAACTTCAGGATAGTGTGCTTAAACAGACTTGCAACGTCCCTAACATTGCTTCGTTGGCTGGTGATATCGTGATTGGAATCTCCTGTTTTTCTTTAAACATCTCCTTTTGAAGAGGAATTTGTGGTTCTGAATGGGTGACGCGTCAGTAGAGAGCAGCTTCAAGACTCATGTGATTTGTCCTTGTAACAAATCTCTGAAGTTGCTGTGCTGAAACCATTTGGTTTGTTTTTGCTGTTTGAATCCCTGCTGGGAACGAGTTATCTAAACATTCTGGCATAATTCTTTGACAAAAGTTTGCTCTTCCTTAAAGCCATTTCTTGTTAGCCTTTGTTTTCTTCCGCTCTGCCCTCCTGACACTTTGTTCATGTCAGAATAGCAAAGAACCGACTTTGAAATCTGTGCTTTCCTGCAAGATACCTCTGATGTGTCCTGGTGAATTCTCTGAATTAGTTCTTTTTTTGCCTTGCAAAGTACTATACCAAGCTAATAGCAATATTAATCATCAAATTCTTTCAGGAATATGAAGCCATCTATCTAGCAAAATTAACCATCCAGATGATGTCACCACTGCAGCTGGAGAGATCGCTCTCGGTTCCACCTGGTACTACAGGTAGGTAGAGAAAATAAGACGGAGTCCAGGGGACATGTGAAGGGGACAGTAAAAGAACCATGTGCTGAGAAGCTGCTTTTCTTTATGGAGAAAAGTGTGCTCTCAGCAAGAGGCAGGGAAAATCCTGTCTCTAAAGTTGAGTCTTTTTAAAAGTTAGAGTCCCTGCAACAAAAAACTGCCCTGTAGTTCTGCTCAAAGCTGCCGCTTGTTATAGCTGCTATTTTCAGGTGTATTCTTCTCCCCTTTTCCTTTGCAGGAAGTTTAAAGCGAATGCATGAGGAGGATGAAGAGCTTGGGAACATGCAAGTGGCAGCAGCACAGAACGGATGATATCCAAGGACACCATCGTTTGTATTGTCAATTCCTGCCAAGAAAGGTGAAGGAAACTCGGGAAAAAGAACTAATAATGAAAAATGATGAACACACACACACACACAGCTTCTTTTCAATTACATGTTGCTTTCAGATGTAAATCTGCCTCTGCAACACACTAAGCAACATTTTTAAGATGTTGGACTTCTTGAATGAATAGATGGCACTGATTGTTTTACTCCTTTTTTACACTTTACAGTTTTATTCTAAACCAAGATTTTTGGACTTGCAAAGACGTATTATTGCAATAATGCACTTTTCATACTTGAAATTTCTTTATTTGTATGATATAAAGTTATTACTTCAAACAAAATGCAAGCTGGGGGGATTTGTTTATAAAGTTATTTGTGTAATTTATAACAAGAGACTTTAGTAAAGAAAAAGTTTGCTAAAATTCACTTTGTTCTCAGTGTGTATTATGACCGTGCTCTTAAAAATGTGGCTTTACAAACTGCACTATGCACTGCTGTTGACAGTTGTGCAACGGCAGTAGTCTGATTTGTATTAACTCTTTACCATGTTAGAACACCTCATTATAAACTGAATCGGTTTGAGACTGATATTCTGAGGCCAAATCAAGAGAAAATACTGTTCTAAGAGACCCTACTTTTATGAAAATTAATATATTTTACCAGAATATTGATTACTTAATAGTCATGCACTAAATTAATATAAAAGCCAGCTAGCAATTTAACACACGTTAAGACTGAAATCTTTCGGCCAGCGTTAAAAAGCTGTGTGTTAAATTAGGTATCAGATGATTTAAATGTTTTAATGTTAAATTAGGTGTCAGTCAGTTGAACAAGCCACTATGGTCCAGCTGCTACTAGAAGATTGCGTCTTGTAACTGGTATTGAAAAAGTAGATCCAAGTGCAGTATTTGCATCATTTGAGTTAAAAATCGGGTTAGTATTTGAGAACCGAGGCACAGAGCACCAGATATCAAGAACGAAGTACTCGCCTCAGCTCCTCTAAAGTGTTAGTTAAGGACACGCATTACCAGTGCCTCAGAGTTCTCCGTTTGGGAATTGTCAAGCTCTTCCTGCTTCCCCGAAGTGCAGGAACAGGCACGGGTTGTGCAAGACAGCCTCAAGTCTGCATCTGTCTGCTTTGCCACTCAGCTTGTGAGATAAAAGGTATGACTGAAATTCTGGCTCCTTCAGAGCCTTGTGTTGACTGAGCAAATTGCAAAGCTGTTAAAATAACCAGTGTGTACGGAAGTATGATCCCGTAATTAGACTATATTTTAATAACGAACAGATGGGCTCCAGACTCTGAATTGATATTAAAGAGGCCCTTGGGGATCTGAGCATCCGGCCTCCTTCCTTGCGCTCTGGCTATCCAGACACATCCGTATCGCCGTCCTCCGTGAAGCTCAGCACGAGCAACTTGCTCTCCAAGGACATGAGCAGCAGCCCCGTCCAGCCGTGAGGAACGGAGCAAGCCAGAAGGCCGGGGGCACCTCTGAAGGCAGAGATGTTCGACCAGAAGGCCCCAATCTGACCCGTGAAGCCGTGAGGAGCGTTTTGGCCTCACTCGGGAGCGTTTGCTGTGTGGGAGCTCCACTCCGCGTTCCGGCCACGCCTGGGACTCGCTGTTCCTCGCTTAGTCACTGCTGCTCCGGCCTCACAGAATCACAGAATGCTTAGGTTTGGAAGGGACCTCTAGAGATCATCTAGTCCAACCCCCTGCACACGCAGGGTCACCTAGAGCACGTGGCACAGGACTGCGTCCAAGCGGGTTTGAAGATCTCCAGAGAAGGAGACTCCACAACCTCTCTGGGCAGCCTGTTCCAGAGCTCTGGCACCCTCACTGGGAAGAAATTTTTCCTTAAGTTCCTGAAAGTTCCTTAAGCCTCCAGCGTGGGGCCCGCGCTGCCTTCCTGGGCGACCTCTGAGGAACAGCAGGCGCCGGGGTGAAGATACCGCCCGCACTGGAACAGTCTGCTACAACAGAAACGGGTGACGCCCGAGGAGGAAATTCTCTTATTGTAAGTCAAGCAAAAAGCGTCTGGGTGAGGCTTTATGGCCTGATAATCCCTTCCCGGGTGCATGGGGAAGGCCTTGTGCACACCAACGGAGGAGAACCAGCGAGCTGAAGCACTTTGTGCTCTGTGCCCTGCTACGGGTGTGGAGCCAGTGCCCTTTTTTCTTCAGGTTTGTGGTTTTTAATATGTGTCACTACGCCAGAAAGCTGGAAAAGTTTTGTTACCTCTTCCAAGAACCCCAGCTTGTCAGTCCCGCAGACCAGCTCAGTGCGCAGGGCTGGTTTTGCAGTTCGGGGCTTTTCTCCTGTGCTCTTGAAGTGACTCTCACTTAAAGAAGCTGCTGGGGCAGCACCACGGCTGCGTCACCCTCCTGGGGCAGCTCGCCCAGGCCACGGGCAGCAGCGCTCGTGGGGCTGGAGCTTCTGCTGACACCAGGATGGGAGCCAGAACTGCCCTTGAAAACTGCTTCCATTTCACAGCCCCTGGGGCCCCGTGGGAAGGGCAGAGCTAACGCAGAGCTGGACCAACCCTCGTGACTCATCTGCCTGGGCCCGGCTCTGCAGTCTGGTTCTGTGAAGCCAGGGGCTGCTGGCGCTTCCCAGGGGAGGCTGTTTCACAAACCAACACGCCTCGTGACTAAGGATTTCCCACCAATCCCCCTTTTTAGCCATTCTGTCACCCCTTACTCATCCCTTCTGGAGTTCCTCCTGCGTGCCTGCCTTGCAGACTACAGCCTTTCGCATCCCAAGGGAGCCAGAGCTTAGGTTTCCTCAAACAAACTGCTCTTAAGCCTTTTACTGAAAGGTTTTTGTGATCCCCTCTGCCTTGGGGTTACCTTGCTTCAGTTGCGGTGTGCTTTCCGAAGCTCCTGAGGCAAAAACAAAGCTCAGAAGTGGGGACAAGGACCCCTCGCTGTGGGTTTACCATATCGCTACAGGCAAAGGGCATCCTGCAGCCAAAACTGAGGCTTTCAGACCAATTCACTTGTGTTATAGTGATCCACGCTGGGTACACAAACAGGTGCTCCTCAGGTATGCTAACCTGTAACTCATAAGGAGGGACCTGGAGTTATTTAGAGGGTGTAAATAGTGCGGAATTCAAGTAACCCACTTAAAATTGGTATAAATTCAACTTTGATGAAAACAGGTAAGAAAATCCACCTCAGACATCTGAGCCTGCAAAACTTCTCTACTTTCAGGTAGTAGTTCAGATTTGGGGCTTGAGAAATTTACTGTTTGAGCAGCTTGCACTCAGGGGGGAGACCAGGGTGGCTGGGGCCAGAGCATGGGGACACGGGAAGCTGCTGAGAACAGGGGCCCTGCCACCCTCTGCAGCTCGTGTCACCGAGCCCGGGCTCTCTCCAGCCTCCCCCATTGCACACAGGGTTGCATGGCCTGAACACAGGGCCCGCTAGCAGAAGAGCAGCCCAGGCTGTGGAACTGGCAGCACAGCTCCGGGCTAGACCCGTATCACACTATAGGCTCACGCTGCATTCCTACCTCTAGCCCAAACACAGCAATATGAAAAACAGAGCAGGTAGATCTGGCAGTCTTCATTTATTCAGCTTAAACAAAGATTTTTTTAAAAAATAATCAATAAATAAAACATAGACATCACCAAGGAAACACTATATTGAGTGGAGTACCGTCTGGATCATTAAATAGAGCCCCCACCATGGCTTAAAGTAGCTCTTTAACGCGAAGAGCGCGCCGGGAGGCCCAGCCGCTCGCGAACAAGACGGGCTGTTCCGTACAAACCTTCGTGTATTTATATAATGCCCTATTCATAGACGCAGGATTTGTCGCTCTCTTCACACAAAACACGACTGTTGAAACAAGGGCTTTGTACATTATTTGCTTGCCAGCAGTGGCAAAAGTGCTAAAATCGTTTTCCCAACATCGTAGCGAGAGGGATGCTCCTAAGCAGCAACGATCCCTTGGGACCAGGGTCTGGGACTTCTCTGCCGGTTGGCAATGCAAAATCCTAAGTGGTGACCAGCAAAACCAGCGTGGCCCTGGCCCTAAGGGTTCAAGTCCAGCACGTTGGTCAGGTGTGTTCAGTGAAGGCCAAGGCTTTACTGCTTTGCACAAACTGGCATTAACTGCCGGTCCCAAACCTCACTCCCATGGAATCTTAGTGGGAGCCCCACTAAAAGGGATATATTCTGCCTGTCAGGCATTCCAGTTTCTCAGTTACCTTTGCCCTGTCACAAACCATGGGTTTGTTTTGTCGGAAAACAAGTAACTACCCTGAAAAATATAGTAAATTATCAGCTAAAGTGCAGGGCCCCAGCAGTATTAAGTATGCATCCATTTACACTCCAAAGTGTCCTCTTTAGTACAACCTGTAAGGATCTCCCCTACCAGTGCTAGCCATAAGACCAATTTTGGAAAATAGTGCCTATAAAACTGTAGGTACACGAACATCAACCGCACACAAGTGAGGTTTCATGGAAAGAACCCACCAAATTCCCATTCCACATCCCTGATCCTGCGCAAGAGCAGCGTCCCTGCGCAGGTCGCATCTTCCAGCGGTGAAGCACAGAGAGGAGCACAATCCCATGAGCTGTACTTTGGCTACCAAGAAAAGAAGCGCAAAACTTTAGAAAAATACAAGGCAAGAAAAAATTTGAGATAAAAATATATACCTTTGGTTAAAAACCATCCCTTTAGCAAGATCCTTTGTAACCCAGCTAGAACAAAAGAAGCTTCACTTTGACTGAACAGTAGTAAAAATTAGTTCTAAGAGCTCATCTCCTACCACAGAGAACCCTTCTAAAATGTCAGTAAGGTTTTTTGCAGGTTTTACACATCTTGACGTTGAGTATTTATAGGGATTGTTATATTTGCAGCAATGAACAATATAAATTTTCCACAAAGAGAAGGTTCGTCGCACAAGCTCCTCCACCAACAGTCCTTACGAAAAGAAAAAATTAAAGACTAAGTTCTTAATTAAAGAACCGTTGAAACATGTAATTTTCTTCAGATACCGAATAGCCAAACTTCTTATAGAAAGCCACGTTTTTTGGCAGACACTCGAGAGTAATTTTGTAACAGTTCAGCCTTTTACTGAGCAATGTAAGGGTGGATGTTAATCTGCAAGACACAGAAAACCAGAGGTTAAAGGAAACAGTCGGAACACTGAATCAATTAACATTTGATTAGCCGAAGTTTTTAGTAGAAGCCACTTTTGAAAACAAACTTAGGGAGATTTAGATTCCTACAAGAAATAGAATCCAAAGTTTCCCTGGGAAAAAACTCGCGAAATGCTTTTATTGGGCCTTTTTCTCTTTTTCCCCTAAATCTCCATAGAAAGCAGCGTTCCACTTCAGGTACCAGCTAGTTTTCCCCATCAAAAACACCCACACGTTTGGGGATGCACCTATATCAGAGCAGGGTGTGAGGCTATGGTAAATGCCTGCTCACACAGAGCAGCCTTCCTCCCGTAACGCCGATGTTTGGGAGCAGCCACTCGGTTTTCCCGAGTCTCCCTGAGCACGCAGGAGAGCTCCCATCCCAAGGGAAAAGCCAATCCCGTGTCCTGCAGGGCAGGACGGGCAGGCAGAGCAGCGAGGGCAGCGCTACCCACAGCGCCCACAAAGGGACAGGCTGGTCGGCACGGCCACCAATGGCCACCACGTCCCCCTGCCACCTCGGCTGCAGCTGCAGCCTGTGCTCATCTCATCCGTGATCCCCTTGGGAAGGCACACGGATACGGGGCTCCTGCCCTGCCTGCTGTTGGCTGGTAGGGAGAGGGAATACTCACAGTTTACCCAGCTGCTTTCCTCTGCACTCCCCGCTTACTACGACGTCTTCTATCCTTCCTCTCTGTGAAAACACAGGCAGGTGTTAGCTCAGGGGCACGCTGTTGTTTTCATTTCCCTCTCGCTCCGTGTTTCTCGCTTGGATTTCCTAACAGGATGCAGACTTCAGGGATTCCCCCCGTGCCAGACACGCTCGTCGTGCCCGTTCCAGCGCCCCGAGCAGGAGCTGCCCTTGCACCCTGGCTCCACGTGTCCGACTGGGGCTCTGCAGGCGCGAGATCCGCAGCCGTCTGCTCCACAACCAAGTCCGACTAGCTCAAAATTTCAGGACAAGAGAACGGGGCAGGCATCAAACTGCTCTTTATCTTAAGCCAAAGCTTCCTTTTACCATTACCCAAGAGAGCAGCACCTAAAAGATGCCTCTGCACTGATGCAGGAGAACATACTTTGTCACACGGTAGCACCATAATAACAAACAGAGGTAGTTTGGGGACAGGATCTTTTTCTTCAGGCTGCAGCTGCAGAACATACCTTTGCACAGGAGTGAGTGAATTTATGTTCTATAACCAGTGTTGCTGTAGCAACAATCTGCCCAAGATTTATATCTTCTATAACAGTAACGTAGTAATCTCCAGATCTCTTCATGTGTTCAAATGTTTCTGTGGGAGCAGACAGACATTCAAATGGTCAAACACTGGCAACAGGTTCTGAACGCACATCACTGAGGAGTTCAGCAGCACAGGCCATGGTGAAAATGGTACCAGAAAGCTCCTGAGCCAACCCCAAAAGAGACAAAATAGGGATAAAGGAGACATGAAACCAATGCCCTTCCTTAGCTGCTAGGAGAACCTTCCTTCCTCAGCATCTGCACCAGCACCGAGGTGGCAGGAGCCACCCCAGCTCTTACATTTCAAGCAAACCAGTGAAATGAGCTCGTAGCTTCATGAGCTCTGGATCATCTTAAAAAGGATCCAGGAGCAGAGAGAAGCCCCTGCTTCGTTGCTGGCACTGCAATCGTTCAGCCAGAACAAGCCATCCCCAGTAACCTGTTACTCTCCTCCAGCTCAAAACCCAATACACAATTTAGCCCTTTGAGGTAGCAGCAGCTGAATCCAAACTGGAGTGACAAAGTCTGCCCTGAAAGATTAAAAAAGTCCCCCTGGCACCAGTCACACACCCAGGTAGATTTGCTTTCGGCATCAATATCTTTTGGCCCCAGCAATCTCTCTGGAAACGGCAAGAAATAATGATATACTCACTGATAAACTGCTCTGGGCTTACAACTCCAGTCTCAGTGAGCTGACCCAGGACCTTAAAAAAGCCTGTTATAAAAGAGAAGAGGGGAAAAAAGAGATTCAGTGAGGTATAAAGACACACAACTGGCTCCAAGAGTACGGAACAGCCCGCGACGGCTGCCTGGAGCCCCACGGCACCATCTAATTGCTGGCAGGTAAAATGGTGCATTCTGCATATTGTAAAAGTAGACCGTAATCTTCAAAATCAAAGCCCATGCCTTGAGCTATGCTCAGGGATCAGCTAACGAACCGGCAAACTGCGACTTGAGTACGGCCGAAAAAAGACACTTGCATTCAAACAAGAAATGGATAAGCCTGACGTTATCCAAATACTCTGCTAAACGTTCAGGACAACTTTTTTTTTCCCAATTTTCAGATCTGAAGAAACCTAAAAATGCTGGTTTACATTATTTTAATAAAGGGAAGAATAAGAACAGCTATATTCCCTATCCCAAAGGGTGGTGAACAGAAATCAAGGATTATCTGTAAGATTTGAGTTTGAAGATTGGTTTCCACACTTATTCACAGAGTAGAAGCAATTCTGAACGTCACCCAGCACACCAGCAACCATTCTGATGCCAAGGGCTCAGATTCCCTTCCGATAAAGGACCCAGAGCAGCTAAAAGAAGCAATCCTTAACTTCTGAGATACCTCAGGAACGCACATTACCTGGTCCAGCACCCAGCTTGGGCCTGGGATGCCCATTGAGCAGGACCCTACCTCGATTTAAGTCCGCGGTGCAGAGCGGTCTCATAACCAGGCCATCCCCCGGGTCCAAGGGGGAAATGGCAGGGGAAAACGTCGCCGTGTTCTCGCTCCAGTCGAGCTCGTGGAGGATGCTGGGGTCAAACATCGGCGTGTCGTCCGGCATCACGGCCGCCACCGGCATCATGGCTGCAACGGGCTCCTGCAAGAGAGCGCACAAGGGACCTTCTGCTTTGCCATCGTTTTAACGGCATTTTTAGATCCTTTTTCTCGGTTATACTGTGCTCCCTGGGATGCGACGACAGGTAGGTGAACCAGAACTTGGTCACTTTATCTTTCCAGTGAAGCTAAACGCCACCAGAGCGGGTTAAGCAAAGAGCACACGCTATCTAAAGTCAACACAAACACAGCTTTGATGGTTGGGCTATGGAGTTGCTGGTGTTCCTTCAGAAGGAAAATAAAATAAACAAAAAGGCAGCTAAGGCATCGACTAAGATATTTAGCCTCTGCATCAGTTTAAAGAGAAAACACTGCTAAGCTCCTGTGAACAGAGTCTAAGGTAATTTGTGTAAATATTCCTCAGATTTTAAACTGGGGGTAGGACTAGCGCAGTTTTTAAACCAGGCTCATTACGTGTAAACATCCAGTCCCTCAGCCAAGCCACGGCACACATGAGAACACAGATAGTCCAAGAGCTGCCTCGTGTCCATGAAACGTTTTCCACGCAGTCGTGTTTGCTTTGTGTGTTTACAAAGCCCAACGCCACCTCAGCTATAGAGCAGTGCCTTATTGTCCATTAACAGATAAAATGTAAAGCTGCCAAAGCCACGTGGGCCACCTGTTAAAGATTAAAAAGAGAGAGTGGGAATTGCGTATTGTTTGGGATTAGGGAGACGAGGAAGCAGAGGGATATATTGTATAATTGCTAGATAGGGGCAAATTACTCCCACTTTCTCATTGGTGGAGTAACTGGTGAGGCACCTGGAGTCAACAGAGCTTATCGCAGCACCCCCTCCTGAAACTATACTCCAAATTAACTTAATCACAGAAGATGTGCTAGTTGCACACAGCAACAAGAAAAAACGGTCAGGGACCAATACTTTTCCAAGTAAGATATATTATGATCCCAGGAAGCTGCCTAGAAAGCGCGGAGGATGCTCTCTGCAAAGCGCTTCACTGCAGCAGGCAAGTCTGGGAACTGAAGGCAGATCCGGAAACACAGCTGAAACGGCTTCTTCAAGGAAAAAAAGTCATCTTTTTCTTATGCCACCTACTGGTGTACATGGGCCTTTAAATCCATACTCCCTTAAACAACCTGAGATGTAAACGTGAAAAACAAACTAGTTAAATAGGAACAGCAATTCTCATTGCACGTTAGTTGAGAAAGGGAAATGATAGGGAAATGTACAAAGAAAAATATCTTCCTACAGATGGAGAATAGGAATTGAGAGTCAATTTTTCGAGTGCCAGGTTTGAGTGTCACTGATCAGATAACACGAGCTGATACACGGGGGACCGCGGACCCACAGCCAGGGTTTTATTTATGCCAGTGCTACGCAAACCTAAAGCCTCCCTGGTTAAAGCAGCTCACCTGCCATCTCTATTTCCAGACCTCGGCCATTCCAGTGTTGCTATTTACCCGTCCGTTAAAAAGCCCTCCCCAAATCCATGATTTTCCCACAACTCCATGCAGATAATGTTCTGCTCGGAGTGTACACGAAGCTCACGCGCATCTCAGTTCCGATTACGGGATACTAAGTGCGCGTGTGGCGAAAAGAGCACACGAAGGAAATGAAAAACCGATATTTTCAAGCAGCCGGGGTAGTTTGATGCACGGCGATGACCCATGGTTATTTTGCAGCCTCCCGTGGGTGCATGCGTGGGTTGCGCCAGCGGCTCCACGCGCGTCCCGGAGCCGGGAACGGCGCGGGAAGGCGCCGGCTGAACCACAAACTTCACGGAGAGCCGGGGCCCGTCCCGAGGGCCTGGCCCGGCGGCCCCGGAGCTCCCGGGGATGCTCCGCGCTGCGGGAAGCGGCACCCGCCGCGCCGGGGATGCGCCCGGGAGCCGCGTGGGGACGGGGCGCCCGCAGCGCGCGGGGACCTCCCC